TACCTCTCTCCTCCATAATTAAAATAGTGCGGACATGTGGGGACACATAGCCTTTCACTGGGTGCTGAGCACATATGAGTCTAGGTTTGGATGCTACGAAGGGGGATAACATGTACTGTACATTGGGGTTGGGGACACCAATTTTCAGAACGTACCCGTGGTAGCTCACCCTAGGGTGTGTCTGAAAATGGCATGTATCACCCACTTATAGCGATTTTGTATGGACAATGATGATAAACTATGATAAACCATTGAATTTTGGGAGTACAGCACCCTATGTTTTCAGACAAACCCACTCATTTTCTCTGCGAAAAGCTTACCCATTCACGACCAACCAAGACAAGTTTCACAACGTTTCTCACGTATCCGGAACTCGAAGCCATAGCAATAGCTTTTCCAGTTATTGCACATCCTCGGGCTGTTGGGCCCGTATCATTTTGGGGCCCCATCCGAAGAAAGGTCAAGCAAAGTGATGGGCAATGACATCCAAAGGACTTCAAGAGACACCCGGTATATATATATATATATTTATGTATGTATGTATGTATGTCTGTCTATCTATCTATCTATCTAATTATCTATCTAATTATCTATCTATGTCTATGTATACGTATGTACGTATGTTCACTTAGCACAGGGTCGCAGCAAATGGATATAAATGAATTATATGTTGACCAAAAAATGGCAACCTCCAAAAAATGCAGGGGAACAGGCGTTTTTCTTCAGCCCCGGTGGCGTCACGCATCTTTGCTGGCGCGGAGCAACAAAAGATGAAACTCGAAGCCTAGTGGCCGACCCCAAAATTCAATGCATCCCACTTAGCAACTGGTTAACAACCCCCATATAACTAGAGGTTCTGTTTTCATTGCATTTCAGGGCTGCCACATATGAGCGCATGCTGTCCAACTGATGGCACTTCTCTGACTTTGTCCTGTCACGTTGCTGTGCGTCACGAGTCATGACAGGGTCAGGACAAGCTAAATATATTTGACCAGCCAGATCAAAATATGTCTAGAACTCCAAAACTATCCATAACTATAATTAATCATTATCGTTAGCATTCAGTTTGATGCCACATGATACTGAAGAAAAACAAGGACGGAACATGAATGCACCAAATGCCCGGGATGGGCGGCATTCCCAAACATCGTTATGCAGATCAATTTTGAGATGCTCAAATGCTGTAAAAACACACCCCAAAGACAAGTGGTCCTTTAGGACCAAAGCATCCAAACCTCAGAAAACTATAAGAATCTGATATGAATTGATCATGATGGGTGTCCACAAGAATGTGGATGTTCACAATGCCAGCATTTCAAGGTTTCAATCGACGCCACACGAGGTACCCGCGGGTACCGGGAGCCCGATGCCTAGACGATGCATTGGCAAAGGCCAAGGCCAGGGATCTTCTCAGTGGCCAACTCCGACTTGCAATGGTCATAGCCTTGGCGAATGCTTAGATGGGCCATAGGATTAGCTAACTGGTTACTAAGTGGCTTAGATGGCTTAGAATCCCCTATATCCATTATCCCAAGTATAATCCATTTGCTAACTAGTTAACTAACTGCTGCGTTGAAATGGTATGCTGCGACTGATCTAAATCCCAACCTGGAAATTCTGGACGTGATCTGGAAATGGCCAGTCTCAGAAGAATCATGCTTTACAATGACCTTTTGATCAATCGCCATATGTAAAAGTGGAGCTGGGCTCCACGATATCTCCGCATTAAAATAATGATGTGTTTCCTTCCTTCAGAACTTTGGTGGTTTTATAGTTGTATGCAACTTTATGGCCCTAAAAAAATAAAACTCGATTCAGTATAAATCCATTCTTCATTTTGGAGATCTGTGTTTAACTGTATTCTGATGGAGGAAACCGCCATTCTGATGTGCGACTCGGTCACTGGATTGGTTTAAGGAAAAACCTACAGGAAAGCCCTATAGATGATAAAAAAAACCTAGTATATAGGTGTTCCCTTTAACCAGTTCATTGAGGTAGTTTTGATATAGTCACTGCTAGTCTTCAGAAGCACAAGACATCCCCTGATACTTCAGGCATTTCAGGCCCACCTTGGTGAAACGCAGTGGTTTTGGGAATCATGACCTTGGAGGTTTAGACGGTCGACGCCAAACCAATGGGACAAGATTTTTTTTCAGTTCATCTCTCCGCTTCTCAAGCTGGCGACCCAATCGTCACCAAGCTAAACCTTCTATTTGCAACCGAAAGGTCATGTCACGATTTTCTTATTCTACTCATTGACAAAAGAACTTGGCAGGAGGGTGTCCTGCTTTCAGACCTTTCACTTCTTCAAGCTGGGATATACAGTGCACATAAATATCTAATTATCTATATCTGTATCTATCTATCTATCTATCTATTTATCTATCTATCTATCTATCTATCTAATGTAATCTAATAATCTAATCTAATCTAATCTATCTACTGCAAATATATATATACAGTATATACACATACTCTCCAAAATCAGTGCTTGCCCTTGCCCTCTTAGAAAATGCAATGTTTTGGATGATTTTGGGCTCCAGTTCCCCAAGAAATCCCAATTTGATCCACCATTTGGGGCAGCTGCTGCGCCAAGGGGCCAAAAATGATCGTCTCGAGAAGGGAATAGCGATCTGCGCCTCTGGTGCTACTTCAATGGATTGGACTACGGCAAGATTTACAAGACCTAAAACAAACACTGTTTTTTTAATGTTTCCACACCAATATGGAAGGAAATCCGAAAGCGTTCCTTGCAACCAAGTTGAACCACCACCCTATCCCCCAAACAAAAAGTTAATGGGTATCCATGTCCATTTTTGGACATGCAAACAAATTGTTTGGCCCAAGTGGATCCGCTACGAACGACAGGCCGGGGGCAACATATCAAAAACATGACTTGCTGCTACCACCTGCTACCCACCCCTTTCAGTCATGAATCCTTCAAAACCTGAAACGCCTGAACCACCTGACATCAATTCAATAAATCGAGTCTTTGAGCATCTTTACCCCTAGTAAATTTAACTACTGTACTTATACTGTATAACTGTATGTATTTATATAATATATATATATACTTATATACATATGTATATGTACTCTCTGTATATAACATAGCCGTTGCAATGGAAAATGGCCCATTTAGTTCGATGATTTGCCTATCAATGGTCCTTTTCCGGCGTCCCCGAGGTCCCCTTGAGGTCCCCAAGGCCCAGGCATTCCGGGTCCTCTGAGCCCATACACACCACCACTTAGATCTTGGCGGATTCCGCCCGATATACGGCGGACATCCCAGCCATGAAGGTTTAAACATGTTGAAATAGGGTAAAATCATCTATAAACCTTGTTAGAAATGTTGGGATCATATATAAATTATCTATAGAAACCTGGTAAAAACCTTTAAAATCATCTATAAATAGAAATGTTCATGTGTTTTTTTGTATTGCCACATTTGATTGCCAGAGGGTAGATGTAGATGAGATGCTTACTGCATGTGCATCTCAGGAATCGTAAACCAAGACTTGGGTACACATCCCATAATTCTGTCAACGAACCATGAGCATATTTGAGTATATAAACTTCATTAACCACTGAATGGGATGCACATCCAAGTAATAAAGTAACTATACTCTTGGTATAACAAGTGTTTTTAAATATAGTACCTATATGGTATCTACATGGTATCTATATGGTATGCCACTTCATGGTGAATTATGGCCCCATGATATAACACTTGGAAAAACCGGGCTCGCCAGTTCTGCCACTGAAACCTGGTATACCGATGACTGAGTAGTCATAAGGAACTTCTTTTGAATCAAACATATAAGTTACGCATGATGAAAATATGTATATGCATATATCATACATATATATATACACAAATAACTATATATATATGCGTGTGTGAGATGTATGTATGGAATTGTATGGATATGTTTGGTGTCCGGGTCTTCACAGCCATTTCTTTCCAATTTGTTTACCCCAAAAGGGGTGACTAGTCATCGTCACTCGTCATCACTAGTCCTACCCATAGCTCCGGGAAAAAAACATAACAAGTTAGACTTAACGTGGGAAAGCCGGTAACAAGCCATCCCCAACCGTAGTTTATGATTGGGTATACCCCAGTCATGGCGGGTGAATGGGATGGCTTGCTTGTAACCATCCCACTTGCTCCAGCATCGGTGTGTTGCCATGGAAGTACGCTTCGGAACCTGACCGGTCACAAAAACAAGAGGAATGAGAGAGCAACCCATAAGAATGCATAGTATACTATATTATACTTTAATATACAGTGCATGTACTGCATATTTATATATATATTACTATTATTATTACTATTATTATTATTATTATTATTAAAATATACTGCATAATGTATATAATTATATAAATATGTAGACATTGTAAATATATATATATATATAGATATACTTTCATTAATCCTCTTTCTTGGAAATATCCTGTCAAACATCCCCAACGAAACCCTGATTGTATCGTATTGGATCTGTTCATTTTGGTGCCTATGAGGACCGGATCTCTTCATGAGGCCTACGCAATGAAATGTTCCATTGAAGTATGGGCCTCATGGCTCAAAAGCCATGATTTCATGGTACAAAAATGTGACATGTATGAGCTGCGACATGGGAATATGGGCCAAGACTCTTGATTTAGGATGCTGAAGTCCCATGTGACAACGCAAACCAATCCCAATCATATTTTCCAAGGAAGGATTCGAAGAAACAACCAACGTATCAACGGGTGGATCACATGTCACTTAGTTGTCCCTACGTACGCCTTGTAACATGTTTGGAATACTGTTGAACACGCACAATATAAAGTGTGAGAACTAAGTACAAATTTGAATATATAGCTGGTGGACAAAATGACCGTGAATGGCCATAATACCCAATGCTACCAGGTTTGTATACATGCATACACACGCATTGATTTAGCCCTACCTGGACAATGAAGAAAAATGAAAAATATGAACAAATCAAAACCTTTCAGGCAATGTAACTGGTTCTCCGTAACAAAGGCCGATCTCCAAACCCAGGCACCCACGTGATGATAGATGGGCAGTGGCGGCACATGCACCACAGGATCGCGCGCACGCGTGATGCGGTACACAGAGACGCTTCGATTGAAGACTTTGGCCTCGCAGTGCTGGGAGGATCAGCAAATTTCCTGTAAGAAAACATGGGGTTCTGGTGGTTTTCCTACCAACACTGGTATGAAATTGGAAGATGTCACCTAACGTAGGAGATATAAGGAGACGAAACTGATTATAATTTATAATGGAAAGTAAGTGGTTAATAATAAGTTGGATTGTATAGATCAGTTGTGAGTGGAACGGTCCAGTGGGGGGTTTATTCAGCAAGGTTATTCACCACTTACTAAGTGGGATGATTCTATAAGCTCTAATGTGGTAAACTGCAGTACCAAAACCCCCATTGTTAAAAAAAATATAATCATCACCCTTGTTTTTTGGGGGTTCGTAAAGCTTTGGGTATATAATGCATGGTAACGCATGATTTTTGGCAAAGGGTCCGCCGCTACAGTAGAACAAATATATGTTACCAACAGCGATGGGTGGTTAACATAAATGAATCGTGTGTCTATGCTGCTTCTCCTCAAGTCGTGACGGTTTTTATCAGCATAGGATGGTAAGTATAAGAAACAACTGCTGGAGCCAGCTGAAAAGAGGTCTTAAAGTCATCGCCAATAATCGGGCTTATGCCAAAGGTACCCAATTGGAGGAAGCCAAACCAAATATAAGATCTACAAAAGAGGCGTCGGAAAGGGAATGTACCTGCAGTACCCAAAATAAGGATTGGCGCAGAACAATCATTTTAGGTACCTAAAACAAGTATCCATTGCAGGGAGGGTTCCTGGAGATAGAACATGTATGACATGTATGGGCTCAAAAAGTGACTTTGATTGCTGTGACACACTTGGTGGTAAAACACATGCATGTTAAATCCCCTATGTCTACACACTTGCTTTTGATCTATATGAATAATATACATACATATAATTGTAGATATTACATATGTATATATATATTTACAAATATACATGTGTGTGTCTTATAAATCTTATATCTTATATATTCATGTATATGCTGTACTGTATTTATCGGAACGAAATTTGCTAAATGGATTTTAACTGGTTGAAAGCGAAAAATAGTTGTAATATGTTGTAATTGTACATTCCAGAGAACAAACTTGACAACTAACAACCATCCACAAATCATTAGATTTTGAGATGGTGCCCCGGTGCCCCAGACAGGTCGAGGAGATTCGAGGCCGTCGTAGCCAGGCGGCAAAAACATCATGAAAGGCGTCGTTCCCAATCCGCGGCGATGCAAAATTGTAGGAAAGTCCAACGCTATATCCTCGCAACTGCCTCATTGATGTCGTCCCTGCGACTTCCCAATGTGTTTGTTCAATGGATTTCAATGTTGTGTTTCAATGTTAGGAGGGGTCCGCAAGGGTTGATCATCCCAGCCGTACTGACCTTGTAAAGTGCCAAATAGGTGGCTTAAGCTACCAGACTTGGATGATGATAGATGATCTGAAGGCTGTTGTCAACCCAACAAAAATCTGCAGTTCCCTCATCGCATGGCCTTTCTGCGCGAGAGTTTGGTTCGGAGTTTGGCTCCAAAAGGAGTCCCTGATTTCAATGCTGGCACCCCGTGGGCTCTATAACATCCTCTTCCGAAGGATTGTTCCTAGTGGACAAAACACATTTTGACCGACCACAAACCACGTATTATATTGACCGATTGCTTGTTTCAGCCCATCAACCCATCTCAAACCAAACAAACATGAGTTAACTTGATATGAGTTTGTCCGAACATAGGGCACCCCCTGAAAATCCACTGATTCATCATCACTTTCCCCGACTAAAATGGATATATCTGGGGGTATACCGGGTACCCGCCCCATTTTTAGACACCCATCTCATTTCACACACCTTGGCACGGAAACCTACTGCAACCGCACAGCATGCTTACAGGTCACAACATGTACATGGCCAGGGTGGCCACAGCAGCGCCAAGGGAATGTCCAGTGATGAGGATCGTTCCTTGAGGCGTACCTGCAACCCAGCATCGAGGGGCGGGAAGCCCAGGATTGGACGAAGAAAAAAATGTCTCACGCTTCGGTCGTTTTATCGCAAGGATATGAAAAAATGTAAAATATGTACAAAATATCTATGAATAGGCATTAAAATACAACATGAATTGGCAAACCCTATTTAAAATCATGTTAAGCCATTCTTTTGGAATGTGAAGAAAACAGGTCAGAAACCATAGCACTAGGCTCTTCTGCCGACATCCCTACCTGGGATGCAGCCATTGTCAATGAGCACGCGCCTTAGAAGGCCAGATTTCACCGGCAAACATGGGGGATGTGTATAGATTTCAAGCGGAATGGGAATTTCCAGAGGATTTCACCATTCAAAATTGACTGCAAAGAGGGACGCCTGGGTGATTCCAAAGGAAACTCGTCCGATTTTCCAATGATTGACTGTCACCCCTTGAAGTGGGTGGACTATGGTGGACCACAAGTGCCTACTGCTACCAGAAGCTGCAAGGTGGATGAAATTTCTCCAAAGTCACCAAAAAAATGGCACAGGTGGCAAGTCGTAGGGGTCTCACCCCAATCAACATTCATAGTGCGAACAAGAACACAAACATACGTAATAAAACCCTTGTCCCTGGATGAGAGCAACAACCAGCCGCATCACAAACCAAAGCTGGTTGTGCTGCGCAGGCACTCGACTTTGCTTTCAATCCCGGACCACACGCGCCAAAATCCGTCAAAGACTTGACAACCCTCGCAATCCTGATATGCCACGGAATCACTCACTAACCAGTATGATCATGTACAGCCAATTGTGCATTGAATGGCTAGCATCCCTAACAAACACTCAAAGTCATCACTCATCACTCAATGATACTTTAAAATGCTCAAAAACTGGCAACAGCAGAGTTCACTTGCCTTCGTATCCTGTGCTGAAAAAGGTGCAGCACGATCCGTAAAGTTCGGAGTTGTTTTTTTCTCCCCAAAAAAGTGAATTTGCTCATGACAAGACAAGTTCCCTCCCATTCCAAAGTCCATTCTTTGATTTACAGTACATGTTTAATTAATGGTTGCCGTCGATGTTGGATCATTTTTGCTGTCACACGAGTTATCTTCAGAGACCTGAATAGGAACATGCGCAAGAAACCCCAGAAAATGTAACCGGCGAATGTCTGATGATGTCTGATGAAATCCTCTACCTGTACTATTATAAAGTTGGATTTTAAAAAAACATAACCCCTATTTCAGTCAACCAGTGGAA